ACCCTCCACCCCCATCCCCCCCACCCCCGCAAATTCAAAGATCGGCTGGGGAAATCATTTAAGAAGAAATCTAAAAGAAGCTTCCAATTGCTTTGGACAAATCCTGGAAGAAAAAATAGGAAGAAAATACTCGGGGAAGTCGCGGGTTCCGGGAAGCCGTGGAGGAGGCGGGCGTCCCGGGCACGGGGGCCTCTTCGTGCGCTGCCCTAGGGAAAGAGGATGGGCCTGAGGTCCTGGACCAGCCTTGCCAATCCTCCACTTCAAATGCGGGGAGAGAAAAGTTCAGAAGCAGCCACAAGGGGACAAGAGCTTAATTTTGCCAGTTGAACTGGACAGGGCATTCAATAAACCCAACCAGCTCTGGAGACGGGTAGGGGCTCCTGTTGGCTCCACAGAGGCTGAAGCAGCCCCTGCCGCCGCCCTCGCCGCCGCCGCCGCCGCCGCCGCCGCGGCCCCTGCGTTACTGGGGGAGACGGTGCCGCTGCGACAGGGGAGGACGCGGCTGGAGCTCAAGGAGGCTCCAGCGCGCAGGCGCCGCCGAGCCCTGCCTGGATGCTCAGTCAAGGCACTAAGGCAAAAAAAAAATCAGCAATTTATAGAAAGAAGAAGCTATAGTCTGTCGGGATATCCAACACCAACAGGTAGGAGGATATACTCTTGGTTAAGTTTGGGGGTGGGGGGTGCACAGTGTTGATGAAACTGCAGGTTCACCGGGAAAGAGCCCTCCCTGAGGATTTTTTTTTTTTTTTTTTTTTTTTTACAATAAACTGCATAATGGAAGTACATTCAGACAATGCATCTTCAGTAGGGCTTATTGAGAGCTCCATTTCTGGAAAGCGTTGCAAGACTGAGGAATATCAGACTGCGAATCACTGGGAACGGTTCCCTTGCAGCACAGAAGCAATCTCTCTCCCCATCTTCGCGTATGTAATGCATGTCTCTCCCCCCTCCCCCTCCTCCACCCCCACCCCCATTATAAATCCAGGGGTGGCGGATTTCAGGTTTCGTAATGTTGCATGATGTGATCGGTATTTACCCGGGGATGTACCGGTGGGGAAATTAAAACCATCGAACGCAGTTTTGCCTGGGCTTCCATCAGCAAATTCCAGGCAAGTGAGAAGTGGCAAAGGAAACATGCTTCGTGGGAATAACAGAGGAAGCCGATTTCCCTGGTGTGGCTCCCAGGCACCTAGGAGACAATGTGCATTTTGTTTTAAAATGAAGCCACTTATGACTTGCAACCAAGATTATCAGTGCAAATGGGAAAGGCTTAATTGCCCAAGAAATACAGGTTCATGTTATATTCATTTGAATCCAGGCAGCCAAGGTTTACAAATGGATATGCATTATTCCTCTGGGTGTGTTTCCCTGGCCAATATTTACATTAACCATTTTTAATAATCATGTGGGCTTAAAAGAGAAAAGATTTGACAAAAATGGGGGGTAGGGGGAGGGAAAGACAAAAGATTAAATCACATCAAATCTCGGGACAAGTTCCTATTAATTTCAAAGTCTAATGTTGAAATTATGCTTTAAGATGAATCAACAAATACTCTTATGCAGCATGAATAGTGGCACTTGAGTTAAAAGACGTATTTTGCAGGGGCTCTTTGGATCCATATCAGCAGAGAAGCAGCCTGTAAAACACTGACAGATACTAACAGACCTCAAATATCTATAGGTAGTCTCGTCTCTGTCTCCCATTAGTGATCTTGTGGATTCCATTGCAATACTAGTGATTAACTCCTGGACTGGTATATTTTACAACTGTGGAACATTTTATTCCTTCTTTCCTAAACGTTCCCAATCAAATGCATGTTCTCCAAAATAGAGACTTTTAAAAATTCACATAGCTTAGAAAACTAAACAAGTCAATTCTCTGAAATCTCAAGCAAAAATACTTACTAAAGTAAATAATAGTATTCAAAATTAGAACTTTATTTGCCTCCCCATATGAGCAGGTTTATGTTAGCACTGTCTGATAGCACTGCTTGTTAACTTAAGAACTGATAGCTCGTGTTTTTTTTTTTTTTTCTAGATATTCTGATGGCAAATCAAAGGGAAGAAAAGAGGAAGCATGACTGCAGATCGGTTCACTTCTCTTTATGGATTAAATTTTCAGTAAAATGTATGGATCTATCTTTTCCTTGTTCTTATATCTAGATCATGAGACTTGACTGAGGCTGTATCTTTATCCTCCATCCATCTATGGCGAACTATAGCCATGCAGCTGACAACATTTTGCAAAATCTCTCGCCTCTAACAGCCTTTCTGAAACTGACTTCCTTGGGTTTCATAATAGGAGTCAGCGTGGTGGGCAACCTTCTGATCTCCATTTTGCTAGTGAAAGATAAGACCTTGCATAGAGCACCTTACTACTTCCTGTTGGATCTTTGCTGTTCAGATATCCTCAGATCTGCAATTTGTTTTCCATTTGTATTCAACTCTGTCAAAAATGGCTCTACCTGGACTTATGGGACTCTGACTTGCAAAGTGATTGCCTTTCTGGGGGTTTTGTCCTGCTTCCACACTGCTTTCATGCTCTTCTGCATCAGTGTCACCAGATACTTAGCTATCGCCCATCACCGCTTCTATACAAAGAGGCTGACCTTTTGGACGTGTCTGGCTGTGATCTGTATGGTGTGGACTCTGTCTGTGGCCATGGCATTCCCCCCAGTTTTAGATGTGGGCACATACTCATTTATTAGGGAGGAAGATCAATGTACCTTCCAACACCGCTCCTTCAGGGCTAATGATTCCTTAGGATTTATGCTGCTCCTTGCTCTCATCCTCTTAGCCACACAGCTTGTCTACCTCAAGCTGATATTTTTTGTCCACGATCGAAGGAAAATGAAGCCAGTCCAGTTTGTAGCAGCAGTCAGCCAGAACTGGACTTTCCATGGCCCTGGAGCCAGTGGCCAGGCAGCTGCCAATTGGCTAGCAGGATTTGGAAGGGGTCCCACACCACCCACCTTGCTGGGCATCAGGCAAAATGCAAACACCACAGGCAGAAGAAGGCTATTGGTCTTAGATGAGTTCAAAATGGAGAAAAGAATCAGCAGAATGTTCTACATAATGACTTTTCTTTTCCTAACCTTGTGGGGCCCCTACCTGGTGGCCTGTTATTGGAGAGTTTTTGCAAGAGGGCCTGTAGTACCAGGGGGATTTCTAACAGCTGCTGTCTGGATGAGTTTTGCCCAAGCAGGAATCAATCCTTTTGTCTGCATTTTCTCCAACAGGGAGCTGAGGCGCTGTTTCAGCACAACCCTTCTTTACTGCAGAAAATCCAGGTTACCAAGGGAACCTTACTGTGTTATATGAGGGAGCATCTGTAAATCTTTAGCCTTGTGAAACACTAACCTTCTCTGCTAAGCAATTGTGGCCTGTAGCCATATCTTGAGAAGAAATTCAAGAATGGGCTCGGCGGTTATAAGGATTTGGGCAAAATTCTGCAGTCTTTGCAATAGTTCATCTATAATCCTATTTTAAATCTCAGAGTGATCCTGCTGACAGCCGGCGAAGGTTTGTAATTAAGGAAGGACTGAACCACTGCCCTAAGTTTCTTTATGTGGTTGAAAACTAGATAATGAAAGTAGCAGGTGCTAAGTATCAGTGCTAAATGCTGTGTACATCACTACATATGAACAAAAAATCAAAAACAATTAGCATTGGACATCTTAATAAATTAAGTTGACATGAGGTAATTGTGTTGGTAAAAACTAATTTTAGAAGTTTGAAGACTTTAAAACATTTCATACTATTATTGTTTTGCAAAGACTAAAATATCTGGGGACTTAAAGTACTGTAATCCACTAAAGACGTGCCATGAATTATTGGAATATCACACTTTAAAAATTGCCTCGTAAGTTTTGGGGAGCATTCCAGAGCAGTATATTGGTTCTAATTAGAGTTTACTTTTTTGTATTAATACATTACTATTTCTAAATACCACTTTCCTTACCTACTAGTGAAATTGCTAGCATTGAACTGTATTATGTGGTTTTCGTTGATTTGGTATAAAGTTTTTTCCAATTCATCTATATTTTACAAATGCTAGATATTGGTCTGGGAGGCAACATTTATGGTACCAGCCAGTCACAACTGAGCAGTTCTGATAATGCAGAATAAACACATGTTGCCTTAAAGGGTTATCTAGTATCCATCTTAGTTAGCTTTGGAGCAAACAGTCAAGGGAAATCGAATCAGTAACTGGTCATGGTTATGCATCTGGAAGTGCATGGAAGATCATTTAATACTTTTTTCCTTTTTACTCACATGGTTTGAAAATTAAGGTGCACATCACTGGAATAATGAGATTTTCTTCTGAGGTGTGCTACCCATTCTAGAGTGTTCTAAGAAGCAGGCAGTTGATGTATGTTTATATTTTAAATCAACTGTCAATGGGAGACCACAGCCTTAGTATGACATCCTGCACAATTTGTGAAGCATTTATTCTACCGAAGGCACAGTCTTGTTTATACTTTTTGCACATTCAGTGTATTGGTCGTTTAAATTATTTCAGTTTTAACTTGTGAAAGCTTATAATATGATTTCTGGTATTTTAGAAATACATTAGAGTCTGTGAGTCTCATTCTTTAAGGTACAGATTGTGAACTTCAATATAAAGTTGCATTTGCCAAAATTTACCTGTGTAGCCTGTTAATTTTCTTGGAATAAATTTAACATTTTTGCATATAATTTTTTTTTAAACGCGGGAGTCAAGCACAAACTAGGAAAACTAGCTTTATTATGATTTGGTTTTTTGGTTTTTTATTTTTGTAGCTACTATATTCTCAAACTGGAACTTTGTGAATGATAGCAAGCATAAAACTGATAAAATGCCATATTATCTGTAAAAGCATTGTTTGGTAGTTTATTATATCATCCCTCTATTTACTCTCACATGCCAGTAGTATTTAGAGATGCATACCTGCTTAGTTGGTTGATTTAGAATTTTAATATAAACATCACACTTTAATCTAGGGCATAGGAGAAATTTGGGGTTCTAAATATATAACTTGTAAGAAGAATGGTTTACAATAACATTATGATAAAACCAGAAAAAATTATTATTTCTGTTTGCTTTCTATTATTTTGTTTGTTTGCTTTGTTTTGTTTTGGGTTTTTTTGTTTTTTTGGGGTTTTTTTTGTGGTTTTCTTTTTCTTTCTTTCTTTTTTTTTGTATTTGAAAAATAAGATTAGGAATCTAATGGAACAGAATTCCTTATTGCTATAGTACTTCTGTAAAAAGAATATAAATATAAATAAGAAAAAATAAATCACTGAAATGTTTCAATGATATATGCAGCTATTTAGTTTTGCTCATAGAAGAACAGCTCAAGCCATGATTTAGCAAGCACTCTGACCTCATTTGTACTTTATACCAAAGTTGATTGATTTGAGGCAAAGTTCAATGCACAAAAATGAGTAGGATCTAGCAATAAAAACTCCTTGTTGGTACTAAAATCATTATCTCAAATACAATAAAGAATATGTTATCAAAAGATGTTCTGATAACATTATGTTTCCAACTCAAAAAATCTGACAGTGGAGACAGAATGACAGTGATTATACTTATGGAGAAGTTTGTTTGGAGGTACAAATATCACCAGCAATCAGAAATTTTAGCAATAATCTTGAGGCCAGAGAGAACAAGTTTTACCAACACTAGCCTCCACTGCATACACAAGAAAACTGAGAAGTGGGTTAAGAGTGGGGGATTGAGGAATCAAGAGCAAGAGCTGAGTGTGGCTACCTGACCTCACCTAGCTATTTCGATTAGCAAATACCAACAGTTTTGGTAAGTGGCTGGCACCAGGGATCAAGGAGTGAGGCTGAACTGTAGTGACTTTCATTTAAGTTTATTCCCAAAACTCCTGACTAACTGCATTTGCAGTCAAGGGGGAAACAGTGGACCCCCCAGTTAATCAATGCTATTTGCTAGTCAATGAATAATAGTAGTAATCATACAAAATAAAAGCCCGCTTCAGTGTCTTAATGACCAAATCACATTATCTATTTTAGCACCCATTCCAATATTTAATATTTAAAAACAGTTGGTAAATGTTACTGATTTTCAACCTATAAAAATACATTCACACTGGGGAGCCCAACTTCCCTGTGAGAAAGACCTATTATCAATAATAATGCGCCCCTCTTGGACTAATTACACATTTGAGCTGGACAGTCTTCAAATTGGTTTCTGTAATAATGGTGATGTGTTTGCATAGATGTGTGTCTGTATTATCTCTTCTGGTTCCTTTTGATCACAATGGATTTATTTGTGAGATGCCTGGCTGGAGCTAGGCATTGTCTGTGACCATGGAGTCTCACGTGATATTAACTAAAGCAGAAGGAGGTAAGTAACTTGCATAGTTCCCCACAGAGGCCCCATTTAAATAACACATAATTAACTATAGTGATTAGATAAAAAAAATATTTGTAAATAGGACAACCTATTGACTGAATTATCTTCAAATGTTAGCTGGTTGGATTTCAACACCAGCATTTTCCGTAGAAGTTAACTGATTTGTCATTGTTAACACATACAAATGGCCGCTTATCCATTTTCCTCTACTTACAGGAGTGCCACCTGAATTGTATACTCATTTTTCATTCATTCAACAAATATGTGATAGACTCTGGTGCTGGGGGCCCAGTGAAAAACAAGGCAGAACAGTCTCTCTTTGAGATTTCTTAGTCTAGTGGGAAGGAAACAATAAATACGTAATAGCAATGAGTTATAAGTGTTAAAAGATAGTAAACATTCCTAAGATGAACTTGGTATTAATGGCCATAAGGTGACTGTTCTCTATTTTCCCTTCAGTGCCTTATCTCCTATCCTTGCCCAGTGTTCCTTGAGATCTCTTACATGTCATATTCCCTCAACTCAGAGGGAACCTCCATTCTACTCAAAGTATCAGGAACCTTTCACCCATACTTAGATCAATCACCATGTTGTGTTTTGGAACCAGTTCCCATGTTGTTAATTCTGTGTTCAAAAATAACAGAAAAACCTAAATGCCAAATTTCTCCCGTGTCTCAACTGTCCCCTTCTACAAGAGAGCTATTTCAATTACTTCAAGAGACATAGAGGTGAGTCTTTTCTGCCATACTCATAACTTTGTGAAGGTTAGCATGAGAATGGCTGTGTAAAGTGCAGTCAAAAGAAGGACTTGTTTGTGTACATCTTAGTGATGACCCTCAGCAGCCTCCCATAGTGCAGAGATGGTAATAACTTGTCAAACAGGGTGCGTATCTTTCATTGTTAAATCATGCCACCTCTTGACGTTTTTGTTGCTCCTTATTGGGGATATAACAAAACTCCTTAATCCCCTATCAGCTGAAAAGTTGGTTTGCCTCCAAAATTTACTTCTATTGTACAATGAAACATACAGTTATGCAGACATATACCTTTCGGCTAAGCCATGTAATAATGAGTTGTGTTGCTGCTGGCTTTACCGTAGGATGGTTGCAAACAAAACCCAAAACTCTTCACTTCTATGTATTCACCATGAGATACATTTACTAGGTTTCATTCTGTATTTTATTTCATGTGTAGCATAGACTGTATAATTATGAAAACAAAAACACAACTTACATCAATTCCATATTAAAAAGAAAAGAATGAAGCCAAGTTGATAAATGGTGATGTTTTAAATACTAGTTAAAGACATTAATCAAGGCAGATGATTATCAAAGTTATGGGTTATTTATGATTTCAGAATCTTGTGAGTTTGTTTTCTATGCAAAAATACATTACTTTCATGTTTTTTAATATTCCTTATAAGTGTTTGAATGGAAATTGTAGGCTCTATTAAGATGATTGTTTGTTGCTGAAATTTCTTCCTGTTATTCTCAACTATGGGCATGTCAGTGTTCTGTAACTTTCCCAGTTGCATCAGAAACTTTTTTCACACCACATTAAAATGATAGAATTGCTCAATTTTGAGGCACAAACTCATAATTGGTCTGTATAATCATTAAGATGAATACAGCATTTGCAAATGGCCGGATTGTTTTGCCATCAGTCCTAACAGTCAAATAAGTTAAAGGCATATTGGGTACCGGAGTAACGTAGAGAAGATTTTTTTAATAACTCTTTTTGCCTTATGCTACAATGGTTCTAAAAATATATATTAAAACCAAAAGGCTTTAACTTTATAAAAAGATTATATAAATAAGACCTGGTTTTTAAAATGAGAAAGGAGCTTTTACATCATCTCTTTTTGCCAAAGGGATGATATCCATTAGCTGCTCAAACCCTTTGGGTTAAAAGGCTTTTAAAGCCAGCTTTCCTCTCATGATAGCAGGCAATTAATGTAAGGCTGAAGCCCTGAAAGGCCCCCAGAGGAAAGCAAGGAAAATGTGTTTCCATCTGAGTGGTTGTAGAAAAAGGTCTCAAACAAGCCACAGGTGGTTTGCAGTCAGGAGTTATTCACACCTGGCATTTACAGCCAGGCCCCTAACTCCTTCTGGTGACACAGAACATCATCATCCTCAGAAAGACACAGGTTCCAAGCTTGTCTTAGAGTCAGAAAACAGCTCCTTTTTCTTCTCTATGTGTTTGGAAAACAATAGGTTCTTGACCTAAATATTAAAATTGCTACTGTAATGCATATCCTGGTTTATGAGGTTTTGAATAGACAATAAGATAACATTTAACTTATATGAGTATTTAAGATTATGGGATGAGGAAGCAAGTTATTTATTATACTATAGGGAAAAGTGATCATAATATTAAAAAATTTTAAATCTGAATTAATAATTGAGCTTGAACTAGCTAAAATTTATTAGATGTTTCTTTTGTGGCTTTAAGGAAGAAAAAATCTGACTGGGATTTTTTTTCTTCATCATCAGAAAAAATGTTGAATTGAAAGTTCATTTTCTCCAGTGAAAAAATGAATGGTTTTGTCATTTTTAGAAGCATTTTTACTTAGACATAATTCAATTCCACAATTATTTATTGTTGGCCTACTGTATATATGAACTTGGGCAAATTACTTAACCTTTCTATGCCTCAACAATAAAAAGTGGATAATAATAGTACATATGCCCTAGGGCTATTGAAAGGATTCAGTGAGTGCATTCTTGTGAAGCCTTTAGCAGACAGCCTGGCATCTTACATAAATTTTAATTTTTTGTGTGTGCGAGAGGCTGGCTCTCTCATAATTCCCCATCTAGCAGCAGAGACATAAACAAATTATGAGACAATGTGATAAGTGCTGTAAGGGAGAGATGTGAGATAAGTGTTAAAGGAACACAGGCAAGCAATTAACTCTGTGAAGGTGAGAGAAGGAAGATGACATAGAAAAGGTGGCAATTGAACTATGTCTTAAAGGATAGTTTTAAATTAATCTGCTTGACAAAGTTAGGAAAGCCATTTCAGATAGAGGGAATACCAAGATGAGCAAAAGGCGAAGAGATATGAAAGCTCATGATGTGTTCAACATAAGTATCCATTAATTGGAAAAGTGTATGTGCTGTGGCTGGGGCTTAGGTACTGGAAAAGGAGGGCCAGCATGGCATAGTGGTGAAAAAGCAGGAGATTTAGAGGTTTAAGTCCTTGTTCTGTCCCTTACTAGATCTATGGTCTTGAACAAGTTAGTTAAACTCTTTGAGTCTCAGTTTGCTTATCTGTAAATTGGGGAATAAGTAGTAGTAACTACTTCTTTAAAAGATTTGCTTTGAAGATAAAATGAGATAATAAATAATCACTATTATTTATGAAGTACTTACTATGTACCAAGCACGTTCTAAACACTTTTTACATACTAATTCATTCACTTATCACAGTAAGTAGATGCTATTATCATCTGTGCTTTACAAATGAAGAAACTGAAGGAAAGGGAAGTTAAATAACTTGCACAAGTTAGTAACAGGCAAAGCATGGATGTAAAGCACTTAGCACAGCACCCAGCTCAGAGTAAACATTCAATAAATGTTGGTTGTTCTTACTGTTGTTGCTGCTGCCGCTGTTGATTTTAACAAAATAACTAAACAAGGTTAGAGACTAATGGGAGCAAAAGTGACAGAGCAGGCACAGGGCTCCAAGCTTTCAGAATTCAGCTCCACCTTGCTGTTATTCCTCCTTTCCCACTGAGAATCTGAAGAACACAAAAAATAGTAGTAGTACTGATATTCCCCCCTGCTTTCACATAGGATTGTATTACTGCAGGAACAGAATCCATCTGATTTTTCAAATGACTCTTCAGAAGGACATTGCTCAGTTTTTAAAAGTGGGTTACACAACTCACACCAGGGGGAAAGTTTTACCTAGATCTGGCTCATATTCTTCA